GCCGTCATCCGCTGCTGCCTTTTCGTTTCTGCTCTCTCCCGCAGCTGTTCAGAGCACCTTGCGCTGCCTGCGGGGTGTTGTGATGGAGAAGTTAGTTAGCAGGGGAGCTGTTTTCCTCGACACGCAGGGTGGGGAGGTTTCTCGCATCCGGGCTGTATGTATTTTTTTCTTCACCCTGCGGTCTCGTCACGGAGGATTATTCCGATGGAGCAGCGGGTGATATTTCGTGTGGATGTGGCATTCGGCCATCCTAGTGGTTACTTCCCTTCCTTGAGTTTTTATAACTCTTTTATTGTCATGCTTAGGAAGTGAAGAGTGGTTATTTATTCAACACACCTGCGACTACTGATGTTGAATAGTGGTCGCCGAATGATTAGCCTGCAATATCCTGTTCAATAAAGTATTGGTGGTGATATTTTCATTATTTGCCTAACTCTGCCCAGGCTTTAAAAGCTGCTGCAGGGCCCAGAGGAAAGAGTTTCAGCTCTTAGGGGAGTAAGGACAGGAGGAGGTTTCTACCACCATCATCACCACCAGCACCCCAGAGAAGTCATCCCCTCCCTGTGCCGATGCAGGAGAAAAGCTGGAAGCAGGGATTTTAAATCTCGATTAATCTAAAGTGTAAACAGCAAGGACTTTGTGCATCACCCAGGCTTGAAAGGGGCATTGCTGTCTCAAAGGCGAGCAGCTCTGAGGTGTCGGGAGCTCTAACTTGGCTTCTTTCTCCCTTAGGATGTGGTGGTGGTCGGGGAGGAAAACTTCACCACTCCCTGCTATATCCAGCTGGACCCAGAGGCCTGCCATATCCTGACAGAAACCCTCAGCACGTATGCCTTGGTGGGACAGTCAATCACCAAAGCAGCAGCCAAACGTCTCAAACTGGCCATCTTTGGACCGCTGTCCTGCTCTTCGCTGGAGTACAGCATCCGGGTCTACTGCCTCGATGACACGCAGGATGCCCTTAAGGTGGTTGTTGCTCCCTCGCTCGCTTTCCCTCTCCCTCTCCAGCTCTCGCAGGACTGCAGCCATAGCGGTGACTAGACCCTCCGCTGCGTGTATTTCTATTCCCTGGGTTATTTCTGTGGTTAGAAGAAGAGCTCAACAAAAAGGCACCGTTTTACAGTTTAGCCCACACACACTATAAATTGTCCTTTGCATAGGGATCTCACAGTATTTTCCACCCACCAGTCTTTTTCCCTTTGTTTACCTGTATCATATCCTGAATCCAAAGATTTTTGCATTATTAAAAGGCCATAAGGTACACGGGGCTTCATTCGTTATTCATGTATTTTTAATGCTAAGTGCCAGGTCCCCAGAGATGGGGAAACATATAAATGCCTCTTTGTAAATAGATGATAATGATAAAAGAAGCTTCTGGGCTGTTAATCACTGCCTGCTTTCATACTGCTTTGTTACACCTCTTTGCGTGCAGCTTTTTGTTTTGGGAATTCGCAACTAAAATAAACCAAAGCTGTTGCTTTCTCTAACTATATAACCTTACTCTCACTGCGTAATTCTGGCATGCACACAGGCACACACTCGCTACATACAGATGAGCAGGTAGATAACTGTACTTGCGACTTCTCTTTATAAATACGTGTATTCATACAGTTGGTATCTGTAATAGATGCACTCATGAAATATGTAGCTCCAACTGCACATGTAAGAATGTGGGTTATTAAAAGGTGGGGTTTTTGTTCTTTAATCGTAGCCAGTGCAACTTCCCAGATGCCTCTCCTCGGCAAAACGAGTTCAAAGCCTGACTCTAAGCAGAGCCGTCCTGGTGCTGCACGTGCTTTTGCTTCCTCAGTGCCGCATGGGAAGTATTGGGATTCAAACCCACATACAGTGGCTGGGAGATGTTTGTATTTTTCGGAGCAGTGACTTCCATCACTGCGGACGACACTCTCTGCTCTCCTCCCAAATACTATCTGATATCACAGCCTGCCTGCCTAGGCTTTGCTGGGGGGGATATTCTTTCACTATATGTAAGAAAAGCAGTAAAGCGTCAGGGTTGAAGCAGGCATATCATGACTTCGGCATGGTTTTGTCTGTACAGGGCCTGGGAGCTTGGCCTCTGTCAATGTGTTGGTGTTGCCAGGCTTTTAGAAACAATTATTTTCCCTGGTCCGATTTCCCTTTTGTTTTTCCTCTTTAAAAAAAAAAGTGAAAAGGATCTTTTGTAGCAATCAAGCTTTAAAAGTCCTGACGGTTTTATGCCCGTGCTGCGTAATACAATTTTCCATGGCTTCGTCAAGGCCTGAGGTAATAATAAGTGACTCGGAGGGGCTTTGGACAGACAGCTAATGCAGTCAGAGCTGGGGGAATCCAATTAGGTGTTACTCAAGAGCTGTTGCTTTGTTTCTAATAGACTGTGGGGAGAGTTGTGAGGTAAAGTTAATCCGATTCAGTGAGATAGCAGAAGGGATCAGGAGAGCCACTGAGCAACATGGAGAGACCATCTTTCACCTGAGGAGCTACAGCAAATGTTTGGGAGAGGAGCAGGGCAGTCCTTGGGGCTTCTGCTGCAGGTAGACCCCCAAGCGAGCTTGTAATTTGGTGAGGAAAGGTGACCAGATTCAGGCTGCCACCATCCCACTCATACCTACTGCTTTTTTACAGCAAAGTGCGTGCATTTTAATTTTCTTCTTTTTGGCACTTCTACCCCAAGACTGCAAGGCCACCCGTGGGGTTCAAGACCCAGCTATCTGGGGGTTTACAGGAGGACAAGCACACATGCTCGCTGGCCACAAGCTCTTCCAAACGTATCAGCTAGTTACACTTCTCTGGAAATGAAAGCTCTGGGGAAGGAGAAGCTTTAAGAAAAATGAACCCAGTAAGCCAGCTGTAGGTGAAAGGGTCGAGCATGGATCGGTGCGTATGAACCGGTGTGTACAAACCAGCCCTGTGCAGCGGCATTGTGTAAACTCAAGCTACAATTATTTAGAAAGAGAAAAAAGGTTGGGGTGTTTGCTGTGTGCTTGCACAACAGCTGGCACCGCAGCAGCCCCGGCCCTGCTGGGAGGAGGTTCCTGGGGGCTGTGGAGCAGAGTGGATCACGCACTCAGCGTCCGCTGCCCCACAGGGTCCCGGTCGCCTGGGTGGGGTGCTCACGAAAATGCTTTTTGGGGAAGGGTGAGGGTAGCTGTGACCTGGAGCACTGGCCTCTCATTTTAAGGCTGATTTTTGCGCTTTGAGGGGGCTGCCCAAGCTAGTCTGATGTAAAAAAAAAAAAAAAAAAAAAAAAAAAAAGGTAATAATACCATAGCTATAAAGAAACCCAGCTGCTTTATTCTCATCTGTTTATTCATGTATGGCTTTGAGGTTGAGGTATGTGAGCCGCGTGTGGCAGCGTGGCGGGGCGGAGCAGACGGGCACACGGAAACGGCTGTCTGCCGCACCGGGGGTGCGCGAACGATTGCAGGCATCCCCCCCAACCTGCCTCGTGCTGCGCGGTGACTGTCCTCCAAAAAACAACCAAAAAAAAGGCACAAACAGGCGTGTGATGTTCTCTCCATTATTTAATGTGTATTTTTCCTTCTAATGAAGAAAGGCAACAGCTTGGACTGAATGCCATTGCTTGCTTGTGCCCTTTCGAAATACAGGTTGTGGCTGTCCAGGCAGGGCTGACGGTGGAGCGATGCCTTACACGGCTCCCTCTCCTAGGAGAGGTGTAAGGGCGTCAGTCCTGGCTCACAGGGGTGGTGAGAGGCAATGGGGAGGGTGGCCAGAGCCACCTCAGCACAGGGCAGGCAACGCGCAGCTCGGGTTTTGGCTCAAGGAGGGCATAGAGGCACCAGCCAGCGGGATAAGCAGTGCTCTAAATAAATTGCCGCGTGGCTAGAGCCAGCCTGCAGGTTTGAAGGGCTGCACAAGTCATGGTTCCAAATTAATTCTGAATTAATTAGCTGAGCAGCATGGGAGAAGCATGGGCTGCTCAGCGCCCTCCAGTTGGAGCATGTAGAGGGGCTACGGTGACCAAGGGTGGTTACCAAAAGTGGGATATTGAAACTAGACACCCAGATGTGGTGAGTGGGATGGTGCAGCACCACGCTGCAGTGTTTTCCCCCGCAGTGGTGCGGCTCCCAGGGCTGGCACTGCACGGGATTCGGTCCCTGTGCCCCACGTGCCTGAGAGGTGGCATCTGCAATTAGCTCACGCAGGGCCACGTGTTGTCTCCTGGCCGTTGCTGGGAGATAATTTGGACATAATGAAGATCTATAGTAATCAGATAATTACTATCGATTGCTCTTTAGACATCTTGATGAGGTAATTAGGGGACACTGGAAAGAAGCTGGAACTGATTCATTGGCTTAACCTTAATCTAAAAGGTTTCCCGATTTTGTTTCTTTTTCTCTAATGGCTGATAAACAAACATCGTTTTAGCTTCAGGATCTGCCAGGTGCTGGGCTCGCCAGGGACAGGGGCTTTTCTTGTATGCTAACTAGATCCTGAATGTGCTCAAGAGTAGCTTGGTTTGTGCCTACCTAAAACGGAGGCTTCTTCAGGAGGCCTGGGGTAGCATCCTGGTTTCATGCGCCCACCTACTCCTTGAGCGTGCTCACTTTGTACATGATTGGCCTTGGCCACGTGAGACCCGTTGGTTGCTTGGCTCTTGTAATTAAGTATGACTGAGTTTGGCGGTGCTGGTTTCTAATGGTGCTCATGTAGGTGCATTTGTACTTGCTTCTTCCATGTGGAATACAGTTAGGCTGTAGGCAACGGTCCACTGTGGTCTCGATAGTTACAGGCATATATTTATTTTTAGCTGGAGAAAATGACCAGACTCTTGGCTCACTAGCTTTTAATTATAAGATCAATATTTCAGTAACCCGGAACCTATGTATCTATATGTGCAAAATACTCTGTCACAGTGTCTTGCATTGTTTGATACCGTCCTGCTTGAAGGTTAGTCTCAGAATAGGCATCTGTCATCCCTGATTTGCTCTGTCATGGAGCAGTTTGCCAGAAGGTTACAAACTGAAGGACCAGGGGTACACACAGATCCCCGATCAGGAGGACTTATGCAAGTAAGAGCTTCCAAAAAGCAAAATAGTAAAGCTACCATTAGATGGCCACTTCGGCGAGCAATGGAGAAGACTGATATATTTCTGTATTCAAACAGTGCCTGTATGCAATGTCTTTGTGTTCAATGTAATTGCATGCAATTAAGCTTTCTGCTTATAGGACATGTCCGATAATGGTGCGTGTCTCCCAGAGGGGACACGGGTGCCTGTATCCCTGCTGGGCTGCTGCTGTATGACGAAGGCTATGCTCAGGTCTACTAGTGCAATTCAGGCTCACAGGGAAACACAAGTCTGCATTTTTTCTGTATTACTCAAGTGACAGCATCTACAGCAGTCAGTCTTGAGGAATCAGAAGACCAGTGTACTGTCTTGATGAAACCTGACCACTTTCTTCTTGTTATCACAATGCTGCAGGAGGTCCTCCAGCTTGAGCGGCAGATGGGCGGACAGCTTCTGGAGGAGCCCAAAGCTTTGCATTTTAAGGGAAGCACCCACAACCTCCGCCTGTCCATTCATGACATTGCCCACTCTCTCTGGAAGAGCAAACTGCTGGCCAAATACCAGGTGAGCATCACAAACCATTCACATTGGATCCTAGCAGTGAGGCTTCAAGAAATACAGTGACACGCAGGGTTGTTTAAAAAATACCAGGTGCCAGGCTGCATCCCATGGACACTTTTTGCAGTGACAGTAGTGTGGAGCCCACGGTCTCTAGTCATATAGCATCTATGCCCTGGTCCCGCACCCATCCCTGACTATACTTTTTTTGCTTTCCTCCTGAAGGAGATTCCCTTTTACCACATCTGGAGCGGGTGCCAGAGGAACCTGCACTGCACCTTCACACTGGAAAGGTTCAGCCTGAATACCCTGGAGCTGGTGTGCAAACTCTGTGTGCGGCAGGTCGAAGGAGAGGGGCAGATCTTCCAGCTCAACTGCTCCGTCTCAGAGGTAAATGACATCAGTGCACTTCTCTGTCCGACTGCAGGAACGCGGGAGGGCTAAGGAGGTATATCCTTTCCCACTGCTACCTGTTTAGTGCTCCCCATTTTCCTCCCGACTGCTGGGAGGGACATAAGGGATGGATTAAGTTGTTGCTTTGTATCTCCTGTTGCACTTTGCCTTAGTTTCTCTCATCTGGAAGGGAGCATCCCTCCTTCAAGGGAGGGAGGAGGGCAGCTGTGGTCTCCCTGCTAGTGCCGCCTTTCTGTGCCTGTGCTCTTTGCCTGTTACGCCCTAATGCATCTCACAGAGCACTGCATGGTCCTGTTTCCTGGCAGTCCACAAGATCATCATGCCTGACATTTCCTGGAGAAGCAAAACGGAGAATAGGAAAAATGTCGTTGCCATATGTTTGCATAGGCTGCTCCACTCTGATCCCATGTAGTAACTCCTGTGCAATAGGGAATATCGTATGATCTAGTTTGCCATAGACTTTTCTCCTCAGATTTTGCTACTGCTACAAATCCTGACTATTATCTTCGACAATTTTTCTTTTGACGGCTGACATTTTCCAGTAGAAAAATGATCATAAGTTTTGGAACATCTTTGCTGGTACTACATAGCACCTGGAGAACTTTCGCTCCCTGGGGCAGCCAAACTTAGGGCTGAGACCAAGCGACATGTTCAGGTGTGAAGTGGCATTGACTTCAGTGAATGTGCTGGTGGGTTTTATGCTTGGTACCCTCGGTGGCTATGAAGAGCAGGCTCTCAGGCAGCAATTGCTGCTGGCTAACTTGGGGAAGGGCTGGGAGACCACAGACAAAAGTTACTCGTGCTGTATGGCCCCGACGGTGTGCGCCATTACCCATAACATCTGCTTGGTTAGTGGGTGTAAAGTTACATATTCAGCTGGGGACTACACAGCATTAAAGACAGATGGTAAAACAAGTATCATAAACAATTATTGTAATAAGTGCTGCATTGAGGTAATCTCTAATTTAACCTCGCAGAGAAGAGAAAGAACTGAGAGTAACTTTAATGAAATGCAAGTATACGCTATAATCATCTTCAGCTGCTTGTGTGTAATAGGGCCTGGTAATGGATTCAGAGGGAACAGGATAATATTCTTGTCTTGTGCTGCCATCCCATCCATCAGGGATGAATAGAGGGAGGGAATAATACCGCTGCTATCAAGGCTGCTTGCTGCAAAATTGCTCCTCCTGGTTGACACGTAGTGATGTTCCTGAGCCCCTGTGAGGGGCAGGAGGTCCTTGAGCTGGCATACAGCGTTGTGTCAACTTTGTTACTAGCAAAAAAACCCTAAAACTCCTCTGGTTTGATGACAAGTGTTACCTGGCAGTGTAGTAACAGCAACCTGGAAACCGACGTGTATGCCTCTAGAGGCGTAAGATGAAGAGGTTGGTGTGATAAAGAAACCAGACCAGGCATCAGGAAACCTTAGCTGTCGTTCCTCACACTTTCTTCTGGTGACTAACTAGGTCACGTAAGGGAGTGTTTTGGTGTCTGCTTTCAGGTGGTGTCTGGTTTGGTTTGCTTCTGGCGATTTCAAATTGAGCACATTATTCCTTTCTTGTGGAGGAGGCAGGCAGCTAGCAGCCAGGTATTGCAGGACAGTGCTGGTGCCTTTTTTTGCTGCTGAATCTGCCTCTCTGCCTGTGTCACCCTGTGGTAAAAACATAGTAACACAGTTCCCTGCATCCTCCCTTTATGGGCTTTCTTTTTTGTCCCCTGTAAAGGATGTAAAATTTCTGCCAATTGAACTGTCTTATCAATGGGGTTTGGTGGGTCTTTCAGTTACCCTGCAGGACCTTGTCGTTCCTAAGCAAACCCAACCATTCAAATTGACCAACCAGCCTTGTCCTACCAGCTACTGAGCACCGCTTTCTACCTACCTGTGGGTGCTAAATCCTTCCAGGCCAAGGAAGACATAAAATCCTTTCCCAGAAAGGCCAATCACTTGTTATTTCCAGTGGGGCCATGTTACAGCTGTCATGGGGAGCCTGTTAGCTGGGAGGACCGCATCAGAGAGCATCAACCCCATACCCAGACGCAGGGCTGGCTTTGGAGTTGACGTTCCCCTTGAAACACTGCTGCTACCGCCTTTGAGCACAGTGCTGGTCTTGGGGAGGAGAGCGATGGCCACCCCCTGAGCGCACACATTCCATCTATCTGTCTCCAGGACAGAGTTAAAGCCACATGAAAATGAGGGATCAGCTTGTGCCTGGGGCGGTATTGACTGTCTCTCCGTGGTCTGCCCAGCATCAGAGGCTTCTGAGAGCATGGGTGCTGCCAGAGGGAGGTCTGTGGCATGAGCCCTGAGCTGGCTCCATGTGGGTTGGGGGGCTGCCGGGAAGGGTCTCCTGCCAGCCAAGCCAGGAAAGCCCAGTTCTGCCCTAGTAGTAGCAATTTGCTCTTAAATGTGTCAAAGTGCCTAATATTTCATTATTTCCAGTAAGTGGTTAATTAAGCTGGGCTCAATTTTGTCCAGCCATAGTAACCTTCACCCTCAAAAAAACCCCACAAACCCAAAAAACAAACAAACAAACAAAACACAAAAAAAAGAAACAAAAAAAATCTGCTCTCTACTCAAAGTCAGTTATAAATATTTCTCTTTTTCAGCTGACTAAGATAAAAACGGTTGATTAGCAGAGGGCTGCTCCCCTAGTCTCAGAGGATACGCTTCTACAATCGTCTCTGCACTCAGTAACAAAACAGCTGTATTTTTATATATTTTTGCTTTCTTTCCAACCTCAGGAACCTACTGGCATCGATTATCCCCCCATGGACTCAGCAGGCACCATCACCACCATCGTAGGGCCCAGTGCTTTCAGCATCCCCCTCCCGATCAGGCAGAAGCTGTGCAGCAGCCTGGACGCGCCCCAGACCAGGGGCCACGACTGGCGGATGCTGGCCCACAAGCTGAAACTTGACAGGTGAGCGGGGCTGCCTATGCGTGGTCGGGCGGTGAAGCCCCCCGGAGGGATGTGCGAAAGGGTCCTGGTGAAGATGAATGACAGCAGATGTGTCGACAGACTGGTCAGACTGACTGCACAGGAGACGAGCACCTTGACAGCACCAGCAAAGGGGATGGGCTGAAAGCATAGAAATTCAGGTAGCCTTCATGCAGCTCAAAAAACAAGTTTCCTTTTGGCTTGTTGCAGGTACCTAAATTATTTTGCTACAAAATCGAGTCCAACCGGGGTGATCCTGGATCTCTGGGAAGCCCAAAATTTCCCCGATGGCAACCTGAGCATGCTGGCAGCAGTTCTTGAAGAAATGGGAAGACACGAAACCGTTGTTTCTTTGGCAGCAGAAGGAAATTACTGATGCAGCCTTGGCGTGAACAGGAAGGACAGACGCAGGGAGCGGTAATGCCCTGTCATTACAAACGAGAATTGAAATGAAAACCCAGACCAATGAGTTTCACAAGAGACATTTCAGAGAAGAAAGCAAGCAAGCAAACAAAAAAACCAGCCCTGACCTTCACACGTGCTCTCCTTGTACATTATCACAGGATCTGAAAGAAATCATGCAAAGTTGTACCTTGAAAATATAAATCAACCTAATGTTCCTCTCGGCTTGGCTGTACACTGCTTGGTACAGGATTTTACAGTTTCCTAGGAAACGCTTTTTATTGCTATCCAGATATATGGATAAACTTTCTTAACAATCCCAGTTTCTATGGATGTTGTTTACATCAAATTCTGGACAGGGGTAAGGAGACTGTCCATGGCTCTTTATATTTTTTGTTTAAAGCCATTCTAGACAAGACTATGGACAGTTGGTTGTGGCTATTTCAACTTACTGGTTTCTGGTGATTTCAGATTGTGGCTACAATTCGGCACATCGATTGTCTCACAATGAGCCTCCTGTCATTGTTCTGTTTCCTAGACCTACTTGTAAAAAAAAAAAAAACAAACAAACTAAGAAAATCAGAGTTTAAGAGGTGTGCATCTGGAAAGCAGGTACTCTGGGTGCTAAGCAGGAACACACATAACATCCCCTTTCTTCCCCAAGGCAGTCCCACTGAGCCTGTAGGACAGTGGGGAATGTAGGATCGGAGTTAATTTTCAATTCACAATGTAACACCACACTTTCGACCCCCTTGCGGTATGAGGGGGCTGGATATGCAATTCATAGTGGTTAGAGGGGGAAAAAAAAGAAACCCAGAAAAAAATTAAAAAGAGAAGTTGCTATGATAATTATTTACTAATTAGTATCTAGTGCAAGGATTATAATGATGATGATTATTATTGTTATTATTATTATTACCATTATTACTTTGTTTCTAATTTTGTCAGCAGCAGAATGAATCATTCCTGTTTTTATGGAACCTGTTGTCCCCTTCCTGAAAGTCTTCTAAGACGTGTTCCTCTATATGCTGTCTGCCCTTCCCTTCTTCAGCCATCGTACTCCTCCTCCTCCAAAGTCCTCTACTAGCCCACACGGGTTGCTCACCTCATGTTTGCGTTGCTGTGCTTCATGCCCAATGCAAAGGTGGTATAAACTGGCGCCGCTCCACTGAAGTCACTGGTCTGCACCCACAAAAGATCCAACCCAGCAGCCCTCCCTGGGGTGTTTTGCACCACCTTGGTGCCTCCAGGTTGCTCCAAGCAGCCGTCCTGTCCCAAGGTGGCTGTGAACCAGTGATGGCCTCCGAGTCCAAATACACATAGCCCATGCTCCCTGAACGGAGCATGTGTGCAAGCATGTAGAGGCACTGATGTTGACCACCTGATTTCTGCATCCGAAGTGGGCCTCCGTGTGTCTTGCATTGCTTTGAAGCAGTCGGAGAACCAGCAGCTCCCGTTAGCTTCCCACAGAGCTGCAGGTGCTCGCTCCCACTGAAACCCACCTCTTCCCGTGATGTTTGTGGTGGTCAGAGCTACTGGGAGTCATCTGCTGGGCCGTTTCTGGGTGAGATGCACCAGGTGGATCTCTGCTGCTCTCTCTGAGCTTGCTGCAGGCAGGCAAGCCCGGGCCAGCGCAGGGTGGCAGGGTGGTGAAGTCGAAATCCCGTGTACCGCAGTTTGGTGCCGGGGCTGTGGTCCGTCCGCAGCCTGGGTGGGGCAGTGCGGGTCCTCACTGGCTGACCTGGGGGACGTTTGTCCCTCTTGGCCGTGTCCCTCTTGGCCACCACGAACAGGTGAAGTGGGAACTTGGCAAAAGGAGCGAACTCTTGCTTTTTTGGTTGTCGCTGCAAGCGTATTGTATTTTCTGCTCAGTGAAAAGACCGACTCTTTGGTACATGGCAGTGCGTACTGCCAGGCTTGTCAGTCCTCTGCCTCTGCTGCAAAGGCGGCTTTCTTCCCAGCCTGTCTGTTCCCGGTCAGGCCCTGGTTATTGCCATTGTGCACACACACATGCCCCTGCCCACGCACGTATTCGCGCTTCATCTGCTTCCCGAGACTGGAGTTGGTTTCTTTTGTGGTTTTTTTTTTTTTGTTGTTGTTCTGTTTTTCCCCCAAGGCTTTCTGGATTGCGCCTTTAAAGGTAACTTTGAAAATGTCATCGGTCAAAATGAAAGGAAAATTTCATCTGACCTTTTTCCCATTTGACATTTCCATAGGATTGGGACTTTTTGTTTTTAATTTCTCAGCTCCCTGACACCACTGGGGTTTTGACTGACCGCTGGGCAGCGATCACAAAGCATTCCTTTCCTCGTAAGAGGTAACCTGGCAGTTTGCAAACCAGCATTTCAGTCAAAACCGGAGACCAGAGGACATACATTTAACTTTCAACATCTGTCTGCATTTGCCTGCTTAAGCCCCACCTGCTCTGAATGTGGGGATGCCAAGGGCATCTTTTCCACAAACAGCCATCTTCTTTTCCACCTTGGGCAGCTGATGGATGTTGCAGTGCTGAGGGAAATCTTGCTTCCAACTTCAGGAAGTTTCAACTGGGGTTTCCAGCTCTGACTCCTTGGAGCTCTAAAATGGCTCTTAAAAGAGAGGTTTCAGCTTTTCTCCCTTCTGTTCCACCTTCAGGTGTAACCAGTTGTACTTAGTTTGTGTTTCTTCCCTCTTTCTGCTTGTTCTTCCTGCATGACTCCTTTTCCAAGGCAGATGCATGAGCTGAACTGTCCTTCAGCGCCTTCCTCTCTTCATCTCGGTCTTTGTTAGCTGATGCCCAGGATGACCAGTAGTCCCAGCTCTCGGCTTTTGCTAGGTGGGCAGCGTGTGCAGCCTTCTGAGAGGCCTACGAGTCGATGCTCCTTTTGCCAGCTCTGTGACCTATCTCCCAACGCCACCTTCAAGAACAGCTGAGCAACTTGCTTAAAATGTTCTGGGGCATTTTCCGTTTACGGCATCACTGTAAAGGGAATTTATTGGGAGGAAAAGGCATGCCCGGATTAAGAGGAACGTCCACAGAGGTAGATGGTGGTCAAGAACATCACTAGGGCAGCAGCATCGCCATCGCTAGGAGGTGAAGCTGCTCTTCCACCCGTACAGCTCAGAAACCTTTCCTCGCCCACTGCAATCACAGGCTGGACGGGTTCCCCGTGCCCTGCTCCATCAGCTTTTCCAAGGTCCCAGCCCTGGCAGGGAGAAGGTGCCGGGGACGATTCCTCCACAGAGCCACAGCTCGTCCGAGCAGCTCTGCGCTTGTGCTTTGCCACCCCTGCGCCTGGCAGCTCCCACCTCACCTGAGACTCCCCCGCATTAATTTTGCTCAGAGTTTTCTCTTTTTTTCTGGGGGTACGGTGCTGGCAGGGCACGGAGGGAGCTCTGGGCCCCGCTGGTGGTATGCACCCCTCAGCATCCCCATCCTGCTGCCCCAAGGACCCGGCAGCGGTCCTTCCGCCTGGATTGCATGGACACAGTGCCATCTCGTGGGGCTGAGCCCCGGCTCCAACATGCCACCGCCGCGGCGAGCAACATCGCTCGGGAAGAGGCTTTCCCGAGGGGCAGCTCTTGGAAAAATGACAATTGTGTTTGGTAGATAGAACCGACTCCTCTTAAGAGTTATTGCAACATTTTATGTCAGGTAAGCACATCTACTTTTTAAAAAAATGGCTGCAGGCTTCTTTTACTACTACTTTTTAAAATGCTTATCCTTTTCATTGTCCGCTTTTGGCTATGTGCTGTAGCAGTTTTGCTGCTCTTCACACCACCTCTTCATCACACATTGATTGCTAGCGCTATAAATAATATATATATCTAAATATCTACTGACTTCACGGAAAACCTTTAATTTCCGAGTAAGAAACGGCTATCGGAGGCAGTCCTTTTCACGGATTTTTCTTCAGTTCTTCTGTGTTGTGTTCTTGTAAAGGTGGCTGTCAGTGCGTAGGGTAAGTTTGGGGTATGGCGCTTTTTTTTTTCCAAATTTTCTGATCACAGCTGATCCAGTGTATCTTGCTAAACAGTGCAAGACCTAAGTGCTATTTTACTGAATCTCAGAAGTTTTGAGGCAGTGAGGGTCTCTCAAGATTTGCTTCCATGGGAGTCCGAGACTCTTTTTTTTTCTGTATCGCTGGCAGAAATGCAGACACTCATGAGACATGTTGGAGCCTGGGATGGCCACAGAGTAAAACATGTCTGTTCCTTGGGTTTCTTGCTATTTCTGTTGCTTACATATAGAATAAATGTATTTACATGCTGTAAGCCTGTCATTGTGGACAGTGTCCTAATGTCTGTATTGCTACCTAAAATAGTTTCTTTTCGGTTCTCCTTTTCCTTCTTGTTTTGGGGGGTGGGGGGCATGTGGAAGGGAGGGGTAGGGGGGACCCTTAGACCATTGTATGCTCTAGCCCAGTAGTTACCACAGCTCTGAGGTTAATTTTAAACAAGATGATACTGTTGAGGTGGTTGGGTTTTTTTAATCTCGTGTCCAGGGGCACTTTGTAAAGTATCATCTTACTGAGTGTTCAGAAGTCTTTTCAGGTATTGCTCTGGCTCTCATCTGGCCACGAAGTAACTAATTGTTTGCAGGCTGGCTTGCTTAATACCAGGTGGCACAAAGATGGGAGTAGTTTGTGAATGAAAACCAAACCTCTGGCCCTTCTCCCGCAAGGACTCCAATGAGGTATTGACTTGGGGTCACCATCGCCATCCATTCCTAGCTTGTGTGTGAAACTTTGAGTTCATAAAATGAGCTGCACTGCAGATTTTTAAATGCTGAAGGACATACTTTGAAGTGGGAATTGAGATTTGTGGGAAAAGTGGGAAAGAGAAACGCAAAGTGTGTGTGTGTGTGTGTGTGTATACATAGACAGACAGCCAGAGAGGAGAAAATGAAGGACACCTACTGCTAGAGGCTTTTAGCTCTGATGTCAGTTGTGGGCATCCCCCCTAAACCCAACTTTTGCTTGGGAAGGTGAAGGTCAAAAATCAGTGCTGTGTCATCACTGCAAGGTCAAATAGGCAGTACATCGAGAGCCAACAGAGTGAAAACCGGCAAAGAAGTAGAGTTGGACCAAAGGCACAGAAATGAGCCCTCAAGTTTGGTGGGTAAAGCTCCTCACTTGAAATAGGAGCATTTAGTTTGTTTACTTACTTGTCCTTTAAGCTTGGCACCTGCTCCCCGAAGTCTGAAAATCCCTTTATCCGAAAGTCCTTTGATAAGCTCTGCCTGTACAAAAAAGCAATGATAACCCAGAGTTCCCACAAACCTCTATCACTGAATAAGTATTTCACATTTTCTGTGATGCTGGTTTAATGTATTTAATAGTGGTTCAGTCTCCTCGACCGCTTACAAAGAAATTAATTGCTACATGTGCCGTACCCTGGGCCTGCCCTTTTCTCCAAAAGCGTCCCATTGCCATGGCATGTGAGTAACTTCTCGATGCCCGCGCAGGAGCGGGATGTAACT